AYTYMTTMMTTGACMAGGTATTTCTTCATGAGGTGAAGYWSTCATTTCTCACACAATTTCTTTTTTTCGCTTTTTTTCAATTATTCATTCATTATTTTTTGTTTGATCCATGTGGTTTCAAGTATTATTGCTTCTATTTTTCCTTCCCACTATTTATTCCTTTTTTTCCTTCTGCCTCCCATTCTTATACTTCTCTCTCTTTTCATCTTTTTCTTGCCTTCGTCTTCTTTTTCCGACACAGCGTTGAAACTTTGCCATTCGTTATCATTGTCTTTCTWGTCTTCTTGTTTTACTTTATCTTTATATGCAGCAAAGACGTTTTCATTTTCCTCAGGTTGTTTCGAAGAACTACTGAATGGGATCAAAAAAAGGAGCTCACGACGGTTCCTACAATCTATGGCGTTTATACAGGTAAGACGAGCTTGAGACATGATCAGTTTGGAGGGAGTACCTAAGATATATACATATAGTGACTTTATTCAGTTGGTGACCTCCGCATAACACAAGGCAACCTCTTTTTTTAGCTGGGTCTGAATCATTGTTCACTTTTCAAGTGTTGGACTGCCATGGGATGTCTTCAGTTAAACAAGACCATCAAAGTATTATCAAATGGAGCCTTAACCAAGGTACGTGTACCTTACGTAATCTTACTTGTAGTTAACTTTAKATGTGGGATTGATTGCTAGCAGTGCGTAGCCGCTCCTCTTGAGACCGGCAGCGCAAGCTGATTATTTACGCATAAATTTGCAAGGAACAGACATCAACTGCGTCAACATGTAGCATTTAAAAATCTCTTGCAAGCTCTACTATAACTTCGATTCACTTCAATACTAAAAAAAATCTTCTACCAAATATCCGCCGACGTGTGCATAATTAGCGTTCATTAGCTCTAGGGTCATCCTCCGCAGTGTTTTCCGGGGATGTTCTACGGTCAACCATATCGAAATCACCTACAGGTTTTAAACTTATAAATAATGTTATAACGATAACRTAGAATTCAATAATTRTCAGCCGAGCATCATGCATAGCGGTCGTAATGGCTCGATTTTTTATTCAGTCAGTTTGGGTTTATTTCGATGTTTTACCGGCTCCTTCCTCCTACTCCTTTATGGTTCTTCCTGGAGATTAGATTTCAGATAATCAAGAGTATTGTAAACCTGATGCGCGCAAAGGATCATGGGATAATATAGACTCTTAAAAATTAATGAGTTTTATACCTTTTTGACAAAAAATACAATTGAAAAGAAGATTAATTTGCTAAGCTTCATGATCCTTAGTTCGTGTGGACATCTCGGCTCCGCTTACGAGTCTAAGTACCTACCACACGGCCGCAAAACAACATATGCTCAAAGCCTTTTTTGAGATTGCGATAAACAATCACACGGAAGGTTCGTTTTTAGCACACGAATGCGTTATGTTACCAACGTTCATTACAAATATGGCCGCCATCTTGAATGTTATTGGGTTTTACAGAGGCCTTGTTGGAAGATTTGTAGACAACCTTGGGGATGTTATTCAAYCCAATTCGACAGCGCCAGAAAGTCAAAAACATCTAATAGCAAAATAAATTTGGATGTTTGAGAATCAATAATATTATTTGAAAGGATATAAGAATAAGGSAAAACATGTYTTTCTCGTTCACCACTTGCGTCAAAAGTTGTTGTTGTTTTCTCTAACTCTCATTGTACGGATATTATTTACCTTTCATCAAGCCATTACTATCATTTAATAGAGAATGATGTCCSACGGAATATCTCCGAATATTAAGCTTGCGTTAACACAGTGGTATATATACATGTACCATGCCTTTTGACCAATCAGAATGCGTGAAAGAACGCGTTGATAAAAAGTTATACGTATTGTATTATTTATTGTTTTTCTTTTTATTGTGACAACTATTAATCTATTCATAATATTGTGAACAAGATTKCTTGTTTTAAAATACAATAATTGTAAAGAATAGTTACTGAATCGCCTGCACACCTGCCAAAATACTCACCTCTAAAAGGTTTTAATTAATCAACATTATTGACATTTAGTAAGCTGAGATAAGTAAAAGTGTATTGGACCAAGACAGACCGATTGCAAGATAATTGTGATTTGTAAAAGGGTGCAGTAATTGATGCTTGTAGTCTTCTAACTCACATAATATTTCTAATAGCTACATTTAGATCCAAATGCTGCAGTTCAGTTGCTACATAATCATGTACTCTCGCTCGGTGATTACTTTTTTTTATTCGCTTTGATCTTTTCCCTAAATATGAGGATACATCCTGTTTATAGTTCACACAATATATGTCCATCTCCAGTTCTCGTATTTCTTTCCCATTTTTCTTTCGTTTTATTTTTTCTCAGTTTGACATTTTAAAAATATACTCTCATTCTATGTTTTTTTTTTCAATTTTCGCGTTCATTTAGCATTAGTTTTATATTAATTTTTCATAGCACTGTACTTCACATTAATTGTCATGATATATTTTGTGTTGTTTGTGTTTCGTAATCTCTGTGCTGTATTGGTTAGGTGCCATCTCTTATAAAATCGAGCTTGAAGTGTTCACCATTCTTTAAAACGAACACCTTTAGAGAGATTGGACGTGCTTGGAATTAAACGGCCGGTCTGTATAATGTCTTTGGCGATAACRATAATTATTTTACAAAGAGYATAGTGCTTCACTTGTTGCCGATATTAACAGAGCTATTGTTGCTTACGTCAGTGTTCCCATGGAAACAAATGGAGAAGAACAAGTAAACAATAATGCACTTTAAATCCTTCGACGGTTTTTTTGTCGGCGCATGAAACGTGTTCTTTTTTTTTGGATAGACTTTTCGATGAAACATTTTATTTGTAGATGTTTTAAGCAAAGAATCCCATTTTCACGTCATCTTCTTTTTATATTTTTATTGTCATTATTACAATTCTTATTTTTCTCAYTTGTTTAATCATTCTAATTGTTATTTTCATTCTTATTCAATATTTCCCTTTTCTTGTTTTCATTCCTTTTTTTCGTGTACTCTATTACCATCTTTTCCCTTCTTTTTTCATCCTATTTCCACTGGGTTTGTCTTGGTTTTTGTGTATAGTACACATTGAAATTCAAACTGGAGTCATCTAGGTCGCCATTGTGTATTTCTCTTATCATTCCCTCAACTTTTTTTTTGATGAAGATAAATATTGATATAAACGCATAAGAGTCCTTCGCTCCTTAGAGCCTGAAACCACAATGTAGAAACCACTTTAGGATCTTTTGAATTCACTAATTGATGTGCTATCTGTCACGTGGTCACGTGTCCTCCTTCTACATGTATTGGCCACCGTCCGACAGAAATAGAGTTAGSAATCGTGTATAACTTCAGGTTGTTTTTCAAAAATTGAATGTCTTCAGTAATGTGATGGCAACAAMACCAAAATTCTAATAAATTTGTGATATGTTATAAAGCCGTGCGCATGTCATATAACACTAAGATCAAGCATRCATAATTGTTTATTTGTATTTTTAATATTATCATCATTCCATCATAGTCATCATTACCATTATGATTATTATAAGTATTATTATGATTCGTTAGCTTATTATTGTTATCTTTTTATGATTCATATGAATCATCATCTTTATCATTATATTATTCTAAGCACATCGAAAAAGCGTATGAAACCTTTTGAAAACCAACTTATTTTCATCTATTTTTTTCAATTTAACTCTGGTTTAGAGGGTCCCTTCGTATTTCAGCAGCGCGCACTAAGTGGAATATTATTTCACGGTATAAATCCCATTAACCTATTGTTTAGAATTAATCTGTTATTTGTGTATGAAATGTTCAGAAAATCACTGTTATAAGTGTTTTATAAAAGAATGTCAGTAGAAAAAATCTTTATTTTCAAGGTGTTAATGAAACTGAATTGTACAATCATATATACTTCTCATTTTATCTGATTCTGTTCAAAAGCTTTTTATATCATAAAGAAATATAGTTATCTTATTCAGATGTTCCCTTTTAGTCTGCAAAGGTTTTTTTTGTACTCCACATTGTGTAGTTCAAGTTTGACGTATTGTATAAAGGCTATCTTGAATATAATCGACCCAGTCGCCAGAAATGTGGGACGATTGWTATGAATATTGATCATAAAGTGTCCTTCCCTCACGGTCGCTCGTACTGTACGTTTTTTTCTGTTTTCTTTTTTTGACTTATTTAATTATTCAAAGTCATTTAGTAAGCGTGCCAAAGATGGCTTCCCAAAAGACATTTGCTGTCACCTATAAATCATAAAGTGTTGATCGAGTACAAATGTTTTATTCAAGGAGTAAATAATCCAGCGTCAATTTGC